CCTTGCTCTGTTCTGTTCTATTTATGATTATTAAAGAGTTGAAGTCACTGGTCAGATGTCTGGTCTCCATTATTTCCCAAACTTAACACCCAGCACCTTGCTTTGACCCAGAAACATGCTAGTAGTCAATGCAAGTGGTTGCAACTTTAAGAAAGAAAATCTTTCTCCAATGACATCACTGAGCAGGAATGGAGTGGATTTGGATTCAAGGCTATTCTCATCATTTCAGGACTCTGCCCATCAACTCAAGGAAATGCGTAAAATGAGTAGATTAGGCTTAAGGTGTGAGATTGGCCTAGCACAAGATCAGCAATGGTTTCAAGTAGCAGGAATAAACCGCATGATTTCCGTTTCACTGATTTCACGTGATGTGAGACAGAGATAGTGAAAGCTGGAGATTTGAAGAAATTGAAGTAGTCTCAGAAATGATGAAATCCTTAGTTCATACAAAAAATGTTTGTATTTTCATATTTACTCCTCTAGAAGTTCAGGTTCTCATGGACACTAAACTTATAAGTGACAAAAGGTGATCCATTCAAGTATTTCACAAGGCATATCTAGGCAAGATCTAGCTTTTTGGGGAAGAAAGGAGAAGTTTCCCTGAGTTGCTTTCCAGACAGAAGCACCGAGCTGAACAAAATGAGATTTTCAGACCATCCCAAAGGTGCTTTTTCAAGAGGCAACACGGACCTCCTTATTTTTCTTTGAAGATATTTCACTTCCCATCCCAGAAGCTTCTTCAGCTCTGACTGGATAGTGAAGAAGCTTCTTGGATGAGAAGTGAAATATCTTCAAAGAAAAATAAGGAGGTCCGTGTTGCCTCTTGAAAAACCACCTTTGGGATAACCATGACTTGGATGACTGAGAATCTCCATAAATATATTCAGACAATCCCAATTCATAATAATACAGGTAGTTATCAACTTACAACCAGAACTAAGCCCAACATTTCAGTTACTAAGCCAGACAGTTAAATGAGTTATGCCCCATTTTTTTGACTTTTTACCACAGTCATTAAGTGAATCACTGTGGTTTTTAAGTGAATCTGGCTTCCTCCATTGACTTTGCTTGCCAAAAGCGAGCGGGGAAAGTTACAAGTGGCGATCACATGACCCCAGGACAGTGCAACAGTCATAAATTCATGCCAGTTGCCAAGAGCCCAAATGTTGACCACGTGTGATCATGGGGATGCTGCAATGGTTGTAAGTGTGAATACCAGTCATATGTCAGTTTTTCAGCACCTTTGTACCTTTGAATGGACACTAAATTAATGATTGTAAGTCAAGGATTACCTGTAGTTAATAGAGAGGAACCCACCCCACTTTACATCGAGGGGGGCTGTGAGAAGAGAGTTTCCTCTGATAAATTCCTGGGAGTCTCAGCGAAGATCTCACCTGGAAAACCAACACAACCCAGGTGGCCAGAAAGGCCCAACAGAGATTCCACTTCCTTAGGGTCTTGCGAAAGAATAAAGTGGAACAATGACTGATGACCTCCTTTTACCAGTCCACAGTAGAAAGCATCCTCACATATTGCATTACGGTGTGGTATGCTTGGCTTGACAGCTGCAGGTAGAAAGACATTACAGAGGGTGGTGAGCACAGCACAAAACATTGTGGGTTGTTCCCTGATACCACTAGATGACCTCGCTAGGGCTCACTGCCTTAGAAGAGTGAGGAAAATTCTCAGGGACGACTCACATCCCAGTCAGCACTTCTTCACTCTCCTACTATCGGTTAGGAAATATAGAAGCATAGTCAGCCGCACCAACAGGCTGAAGAACAGTTTCTACCCATGGGCTGTCAGACTCCTGAGTGGAAAATAACTTCATGTCAACATAGTATGATAGACTTGGGCTGGCACATTGTGCAACAAGGTCACATAGAATAATAAGATTGGGACTGGGTTGGGGACTTTTGTCCTCACTGTGAGGTGTCTTGTGGGGGAGTGCACGAAGGGAGGCTCAGCCAATCTCATTGTGCACATGTTGTATTCTGACAATAAAGGTAATAATAATAGTTGTGAAAACAGTAGGTCAAGGCTCAGATTGGAATGTGTAAGTAACAGGTCTGGTTTCCTGTGTCATTACAGCTTCATCCGTTCCTGAAAAACTTCCAGGTTTCCAATTTTAGTGTGGATGGAGGCTATTTGGAGAAGGATGAAGATCCTGCTGCTGGATTTGATATCATTCAGTGGGCTGTGTTTCCCAACAAATCTACTTCTGGGGTGAAAGTTGGAAGTGTAGAAAATGAGGCCTCCTCAGAAGTCAAGGCCTCCATTGATCAAAGTGCCATTCTGTGGCCAACATCATTTAATAAGGTACTTGATAGTGTTTGGTTTGGTTTTCATTATTTAGATGTACATCTTGTGCACATCTGCTTAAAAAATAAATACCACTGAATTCAATGGGGCTTAGCTGTCCTTAATGCATTTTAAAGTTTCATTCATGCGCTAGACATTGCGTAAGATACTGTGAAGAATACATCAGCTGTGAAATCTATGTAATCTAAGACAGGAAGCACAAAGAAACTGTGAAGGATGGCCTCTTACTACACCAAAAACACAGAAAGGTATTCATAATGGTCTAGCTTAGGAACACTATAGAGGCGTTTTTGCATTGTCAATTATTTATTAAGCAAAACAAACATTTCTACATTAGGATTAGATTTATTCTCAGAGATTTGGCTTTCAGAACTATTTGGTACATTTAAGGAAGACAAGAGAGAGAGAGAGAGAGAGGAGAGAGAGAGGAGGGAGAGGGAGAGAGAGAGAAGAAAGGAGAGAGGGAGAGAGAGGGAGAGGGAGAGAAAGGAGAGAGGGAGAGAGAGGGAATGAAGGAGAGAGGGAGAGAGAGCAAGAGGGAGAGAGAGAGAAGGAAGGAGAGAGGGAAAGAGAGAGAGAGGAGAGAGAGGAGGGAGAGGGGGAGGGAGAGGGAGAGAGAAGGGTAAGAGGAGGGAGAGGGAGAGAAGGAAAGAGAGAGGGGGAGAGAGATGGAAGGAGAGAGGGAAAGGAGAGAGAGAGGGAGAGAGAGAGAGAGATTTTTAAATGAGAGCCAGTTTGGTGTAAGCTAATAAGTGGAAGAATTCCAGCCCTATTTGGGCACAAAGCCAGTTTAATGACCTTGGATCAGTTAATCTCTCTCACTCCTAGAAAAGAGGGAAGAGCAAACTACTTCCAAAATCTTATTAAGAAAACTTCAGGGATTTTTTTCCAGGCTGACTCTGAGAATTGAACACAGTTTGGTGAAACTTGATGAACTGTCATTCTCTCTTCAATGAAGGACTATTGGGAAAAAATCCTGCTGGAGTGGATCTCCTTCTGAAGATCTTTCAGAAAAGGAATATGATGTTGAAAATGAGTTTCTGAAAAAAATATCCACATTAAACTTAGAAATAAGCTTTGAAGTATATTCTTGAGTTTTGTGACAGGGCATAACTGGCATATAGGGTCAAGAGGTTTGGCAAGTATAGATTCTTTACCACTTTTGGATTAAGAAGAAGTCAAGAATGAGCTGGAATAGTTTCTCCTCTGCTCCAGCCCAAATCCTGCTGCCAGAAAGGATCCTAGGATCCCAGGGGGTAAACTCATCAGTGATTAGGCTCAATGATTTTATTGTGAGTTCAGTTTAACCCAGGGTGAGAACCCACTCTGTGATTCAGATTACATATTAACTGAGTTGGAAGGGAACTTGTAGGTCATCTAGTCCAATCCCCCCGCCTAGGGTTGTCTCAATTTCATTGAGGGCTGCATTAGGGTTGTGTTTGACCTCGGGGGAGGGGCATGGTCAGGGTGGGCTTGACCAGCTTGATATCACTCATGTCAGGGGCACCTGTGGTAGCCCGAGCGATCTGCAAGTGAAAATGGGCGTACGAGCTCCATTTTCAGCTGCGAGGCCTCCTGCAACCCTCTCCCAGTGAAAACATGGCCCTCCCAAGCTCCATTTTCACTGACAGGTACCGCAGGTTGGTCCTTTGCTGTTTCCAAGGTGGCCCTATGGGCCAGATCTAGGCACTCTACAGGCCAGATCTAGCCCCTGGGCCTTGAGTTTGACACCTCTGCCCTACACCACTTCTGACAAATGGCAGTCCAATCTCTTCTTGAAAGTCTCAAGTGATGAAGCTCCCACAACTTCCGAAGGCAACTTCTGTTCCATTGGTTGATTGTTTTCACTTTTCATTGCCATTCATAAAAATAACCCTCTAATTCACTCTTCACTTTTACATTTAGAAGTTCCCTTTGTCTAGATGTACTGAAAGTTGTCACCCAGGATACACCAAGCTCACCAGAGAGGGAGCACCAATCTGCTGCTATGACTGTTCTCGTTGTGTAGAAGGAACAATTTCCATGCAAGAAGGTAGGTGGCTTTGGAGCAAACCATAAAACTATTCTACAGAATTCCTGAGGTTGTCTAGAACCTTCAATATGGAGGTTATGTGTGCCTTCGCTGGTGGGGCAAATATTTTTAGCCATAGATCATGATTTGCTTTTAACTGACAAGCTTAGGGATACAGTTCAAAAAGAATGTTCAGCAAGGTCAAAAGTAAAGTTTCAACTTCAATCCAATTAAAAATAATGAATACAAATATTTCCCTTTGCATTTGATAACTTCCTTCTTATGGCAAGTTAAAATGAGTTTGGTTATTAATTTAGAAGCAGTCTAAAAGAGAGGCTCCTAAACCAGAGACAGGGACTTTCCAATAGTGGTGAATTATCTATAGATTGGGTGTAGGATGAGGGTAAAGGTTCATTCTCTGAGCTCGTGGGTTGTTTTCCAAATATTTCATTACCAAGCTAGGTAACATCTTCAGGTAACAGGAAGTTTCATTGGGAAGACCAAGGCTTTACTTTGGGTGAACTTTCATACATGCAGACTGGAGAGCTTTTGTCTCACTGATCAAATTGAGCTTTATATGTCATTCAGAGAGATTTTTCAGAACCTGCAGGAGTTCCAAATTAGCAACACTTTTCAAATAATTAAAAGTAGTACCTTTTTACAGGCTGTTGTAATTGCAACAATCTGGGATTGTTGTTTACATGATCCCCAAAAAGGTAGTTAGCCTGATGCCTTGATAAACCTACTATGTTGGCTCTCAATGTTATCAATCAAGAAGCACAAAAGGTGATGAATGAAAAACACCGTAACAGTAAATATTGACCCTCACCAGACTACTATCTACTCTGCTTGGCAGAGACCTATTAAAATATCATTGAAAGACTGTTCTGATCATTCCTTTTGAACTGTTTGTGGATGATGCTGGAATTTCCTGTATGCAAAACATGGTCTATGACACCAGCCTTGCAAGAATCTCTGATAGATCAGATCAAAATCTCCTCTGGGCAAACATACTGGCTTCCATAATGGACAGCTGGTTACTTCAGCTAAGATTAAGAAACAATGATCTTTTTTTTCTGGCATATCAGTTGCACCACTCTGCATTTGTATCTGAAATTTCTATAGAATCTGCTCATTATTACACAGCAACATTTGATCCTATTCAAGCACAATTAAATGTTGCTTGCATGTATTCCCTTTACAATGTTCTCCTTCCAAAACAGGTTTATGTAATATGGGTGAGACTGTCAAATTTATATGTGCAGACAATTAGGAGTATAAAGTATCTGCTAATTAATCAAAACATTGCTTCTGCTTTTCAGATGCTGCTCATTGCAAAAGGTGTCCAGATGATCAGCATTCCAATAAGAAGCGAGACCAGTGTGATCCCAAAGTTATAAGTTTCTTGTCCTATGAAGAAACCTTAGGTCTAATCTTGGCTATTTCTGCCTTGATTTTGTCTCTAACCACTGGCTTTGTTCTATACATTTTTATTAAATACCGGGAAACTCCCATAGTCAAAGCCAACAACCGGGATCTCACCTATATTCTTCTGGTCTTTCTCCTCCTTTCCTTCTTGGCCTCCTTCCTGTTTATTGGTCATCCCCAAAAAATAACCTGCCTTCTTCGGCAAACCACTTTTAGTATTGTTTTCTCAGTTGCTGTATCTTCCTTGTTGGCCAAGACGATAATGGTGGTGGCAGCATTTTTAGCTACAAAGCCAGGCAGCAGGATGAGGAAATGGCTGGGGAAGCGTCTGGCCAACTCCATTGTCTTCTTCTGCTCATGGATTCAGATAGGAATCTGCATCATATGGCTTGGACTTGCTCCCCCATTCCCAGATGTTGACATGCATTCTCAACCAGGACAGATCCTGATACAATGTAATGAAGGCTCAGTTGCCATGTTCTACTCTGCCCTTGGCTATATGGGATTTCTGGCTGTTGTCTGCTTCTTGGTGGCTTTCCTGGCCCGCAAGCTGCCAGGGACTTTCAATGAAGCTAAACTGATTACCTTCAGCATGCTGATTTTTTGCAGTGTCTGGATCTCCTTTGTCCCCACCTACCTGAGCACAAAAGGGAAATACATGGTGGCTGTGCAGATCTTTTCCATCCTGACCTCCAGCCTGGGTTTACTGGGCTGCATCTTTGTCCCCAAATGTTATATCATTGTCCTGAAACCTCACATGAACATGAAGGAGCATCTCATGATGAAAAAAAATGAGGGAGGCTGAATTTGATACTTATTTTTTATGGAGTGTGCACAATTCAAAACATATCTTAAAAATAACTTTATTATAGCCATTAGTTACTTCACCTTTTTGATGATAATAAAGAATTAAAGATGCCTTGTCCAGGTGTGAATCTTTTTTAAAAAAACATAGAAAGTCCAGAATTGAATTCATTTTTTTTTAAGGACTGGAATGAGTGAGCAACCAAGTCTCCTACATCTTCTTTCCATGTCCACTGCAATGTATTCTCCACTTGTTCCTTGATGCTGCTCTTGTTGCCAAACTTCAAATTTCCCATATCCCTCCCATTCTTCTTTCATGTCAGAACACCAAAATATTTATCTACTCAGGATTATCTGGCAGGAGCTGGAGTGTGTGACAGGAGCTCACCCTGCCCTGCAGCAACAACAGGTCTCAAACATGAACCTGCTGGTTGTCAGCCCAGCATTCTAACCTTGTGAGCCACCATGCTTCTATATCTCTCTCATGAGCCATTAGATTTCTCAACATTCTCCACATCTGCCTTCCTATCAATTTTCCTACCACCATCCCTATTCACAACCCTAAGCCCCATTGATATGTTCCTTCTCCTTTTCTGTCCCTCCAAATTCCCAATCGCTTCACAGTTTCATAACCCAGAATCAAGGTTTCCGTTGTTGTTATTGTTCATATGGTTATTTTTGTTAAAGAGGATAAGGAAGGATATGGATATGGATTTCAAAAAAAGTGCAATATAAATAGATG